ATACTAAGTAGAGAGAGAGAGAGAGAGAGAGAGAGAGAGAGAGAGAGAGAGATACTAAGTAGATATACATAGAGATATAGATAGATACTAAGTAGATATACATAGAGATATAGATAGATACTGAGTAGATAGATTTAGAGATATAGATAGATACTAAGTAGATAGATTTAGAGATATAGATAGATACTAAGTAGATAGATATAGAGATATAGATAGATAGATAGATAGATAGATAGATAGATAGATAGATGCAAAATCACACTGTGTATATAAAAAGTTAATAATTAACCTTGCTGTGGGAAAGCAGCCTATCTGCTAGCTCATTCCTGACACCATAACCTTGCTTCGTTGTATCTTGGCTCACATATTTCCCGGTGTTGTATAAGGTGACAGTACACCTTGTACATACAATAGTCTGCAGAGACAGCCTCCTGTGCATTGGAGACGCTCATATTTATTTTCCTGTCTCAGTATTAGTTAGAAGAACCTGATATATGATAAGTGATATATAACATATGCGGAGGGTGCGGAGTAGCCATACACGGGAGGTAAAATGAAATCGCAATAATAGATTAAACAGTGATGTTTTACCCAAGCTTTGTATTTTATTTCCTGAAGCAGCAATATGAATGTAACGCGCTGACATTTCTGACGAAAGGATTTCTGTGTAAGAAAATCATAACGATGATTCCTTAGAATGTACTTGTTGTATGAGGACCACACCATCTCTCTGCAACAGTGACGCACAGACCTTGATATTATACCGGAGAGTATTTGATATAGTTGAATGTATTTTGTTTCCCTTTCATTTCTTATGTGATTGTAGGTTGCAAAATATAAACCTTCAGAATTTCCAGCGGCTTAGTGCTTAACGCTTCTGTAACCAAGCAAGGTCTGTTCCAGGGCCTACTACTACTACTTACTTATGTCACCAGGGATCTAAAGTCTCCCTGATGTTCAGGGAGTCTCCCGCTATTAGATAGCGGCTCCCTGACGTCCGAGGGAGAGGCGTTTTCTCCCTGAAAGGATTACTCTGAGTAAACCTTTCCGGTAAGATATCAGTGGGTAAAGGTTCAGAGTGAGGCTTGCCTCCTGGAGGAAGGTCATGTGATCTCTATAGTAGCTTTAGAAGGAAGAAGCTACTTGCTGCACAGAGAGGGCGGACATAGACTATGATTGAGAGCAGGTACATGCACTGCTGCAGGGTTGAGAGAGTGCTGTTAACCCTTTGTGGATAATATAGAATCAATTATATGTGTTGGTTGCCTAGTTATAGAGAACATTTATTTCAATTGCTGACCATAGCAGCTAGTCAACTGTGTATCAGGGACTTTACTCCTCAGCATTTTTTTAAGAAAGCACCTCCCTGAAATAAAGTTTGGCAGGTTGGGATGTCTGTGTCACTTACAGCAAACCAAAAATCTACCCTTGCAGTGGGGCTATCCATGGTTCCATCCTCCAACCACTAGTATCCTACATGGCTGATGCACTGATTCACTGTAAAGGTTGTTATACCTAACTGTCCCACATCCTAACCTCCTAGGACAGCCTGAGGACTGCCTGGGGGAAATATGCTGTGGATTGTCTAATCCTCCTAAGAGGGTGACCATGTGCTAGGCCTGTGTGTCGGGCCTAGTACATGAAGCCTAGAGATATAAATGCCATGGAGAAACTTTAGCCTGTATATGGAGCCTGAGGAGCTGGGTAGAAGCTTGGTCCTTGCCTGAAGTATGGTGATTTCTACCTATTGTATTGGTATCTGCTACATCCAGTATCATACAGTCAGAATCTGAACTCACAGTCTGCCGGTTCAGCTTAAAGTTTCTTTATATGTGAAGGTGGTAAGTACTTTTGTCATCCTTTTTCAGTTCGCAAGACCATGTGGGTGTCCTGTGTCCTAACCCTCTCTACCAAAGTTATTAAATACATTCTCTGCAAGCAATAGATCAACAGCGTGGATGTCAATTGGTCACCACTGGCAAGTCGGTGAGTGCTCTGGGGCACCTATGGGACTGGGTACCCTAGAGCGCACACTTAATCCAGCGACTCCTTAGGGGGTGAGCACTACACTTGAAATGTTCCAAAAGTAAACCACCCTTGCCTTTCTTTATTAGAACATTTGTTACACATTTTTAAAAGTATGCTTTAACCCCTTCCCGACCGATGACAGGATTATACCGTCACGATCATTCAGTTCATTAACTTCCCATCATGCGGTACAAGGTGCTCTGGTCCCTGAAAGGGCCTAGCACTCATTAAATTACTGCTGTTGATGGGTCCCTCGTGGTCCGAGGCAGACCCTCAACAGCAGAATAGGTGGTCACAGCACTGTGATCACAGCGATAGCTGATCACTGTGATCGCAGCTCACTGTGTTGTGGAGCTGTGAGCCGGCTCAGTGTGTTACAAACTAATAAAAAGTATCTCTGAGGAGAATACGGCATTCTCCTCAGAGATACTAAGTATCTAAGCCCCTGTAAATAAAAAATAACTCCTTATTTGTAAATATAATACAATTTACAAATAAAAAAAATAAGTTTTTTAAAATGTAAAAAAATTTAAAATACAGTTTTTAAAATGTAAAAAATAAAATATACAGTTTTTAAAATTTAAAAACATTAAAAAAGGGAAAAAGTTTTAAAAAGTCTGAAAAGTTTTAAAAAGAATATGTTTAATAAAAATAATTATAAGGAAATATAGTGCAGAGGAGGCTATTAAATATAGGAGACAGACATACCACATTCAAACTAAAATTGTATTTTGCGACCTGTAACTCCCAAAATAAACTGAAATCCCAGACATATGATATACCCTATAAATCAGGACAAATAACATAATATATTATACATTACTTTCTTTTAGCGCTACACACATTTTTTTGTATTTTATATATATTTAAAAAAATAAGAATGTATCTGTGCATATGTCCCATCAAATTAAAACCCATTTTGTCCTTTAAAACACTGTATATAATATGTGTAGGTGTAATGAATGATAAAGATGGCAATTATGGTTAAGCAAAAATGGCAAAATTGCTCCGGTCCCCAGGAACGACAACATTTTCTGAAGCTGTGTCACTAACGGGTTAAATGAGACCCCCTGAATCTTCAGTGGGAAAAGGTATTGCATATTGCAGTCTGTAAGCTGCCTCTTAATAATAGTTGGGTGTTTCAGTGTTTTTGCACAGCATGATGCAGAACTATGGAAGGAAAATCATTTTAAATGCGTTTATGAGTCCCAACAGGCAGAAAACCCATCACAAAGTAAATTTCAAGTAGTGCCGCAATTTGCACAGAGACGATCGCGAGGCGCAGCCACAGGTAGAGCCGTTTTGATGAAGTTAATTTTCGCATTTGCTTTGTGATTCTGGCCGAGAATTTTCCCGTCTGTATTCCGCCGCCTAGGCAATGCAGAGCGCCGGAAACCTCCTGACCTCGATATCTGCCAGTAAAACGCACCGTATATATCGCCCCCGACACAGAACAAGCACATATAATCTCTGTGTAATATCTCAATTTTGCACACTCAGCCCGAAAGAGCCAGGGAAAAAAAAGGAAATTAAGAATCCACAATACGCAGCTATAATTTACTTCATTTTTACAGATTTTTTTTTTTTTCATTTAGGAAATATATCAATTTTCTTTTAAATAGCCCCGGGAGGATTGGAAGACAATCAGCGGCTGTATGCTGCAGAGATCAAAACACATAAAACACCCCACGGTATGCATATTTAAAGGCCCCCTGAGTCT